GGCAGTTTATATAGAGGGCGGCGCGCTCGGCGCGCTGGCGGCGGTGAAGCCTCTCAGAGTGGGCGCTGGCTGGCCGAGGGCGTCGGGCGGGTGTGGGGCGGCACTCGGGCCGCCGGACGGGCCGTGGTGGCCCGTGTGGCGTTCGTGAGGGACTGTTTGGGCGCCCCGGCAGCCTCCCCGCCTGCGTGACCAGGGCCGGTTTGGCAGCGGTTTGGGCTGTGTGTGGGCTGGTCGCGGTAGGGGATATAGTGCTTGTTTATGGTCCCACTCACTACTCCCGGCCAACGGGGCCTCGCGGGGCGTCCTCGTTTGCAGTAAAAGGCCTCTGCCATCGCTCAGAGTCCCAAACCATGTGATCCTCCGCGCCGCCGCGCCCGACCCCGAGTAGTCTGCCAGATGCGATGTCGTCGGGGAGGGCGTCGTCGCGGGCGCCAACGTCGTCATGCGAGCCCCTACGGCTGTCCAAGGGCACGTCTGGGTGACCAGGGGCGGGGGTCGAGCCGTGAGTGCTCCGCCGGGGCGAGCTTCTGGGTCCATGGGACCGCTGCCGGACCCATCCGAGAGCCTCTCCGGACACGTTCGCTCGACGGCCTAGTTGGCGGCCGATGTTCGACGACTAAACCTCCGGACGCCGCGGCCAAAGGTCCGCCCACGGCCCCAGGGCTCGTGGTGGGTGTGGGGTGTGCCTCACGAGGCGGAGAGGCCGCGTGAACTCCCGTAGAAGCTCGCGAAGTGCGGATTTGGAGCGCCGCGCCGGACCTCCGCCGGGGCCCGCCGGGACGCCGTATGGGCCTCGGGGTGCCCGATAAGCTTAGAGGTGCGGTTTTTTTTGCTTGTGTCTATCGGTTCATGTCATGGACCGGCCCTGGGAAGCCTTTGACCGCGCGCGGAGGGTGTTACGGGGCCGTGATGATTTAGCGGGAGGGAAATCGGCCGATTTGCCCAGTGTGCGCCCCTCAGGAGCTTAGCCTTAGGTAGAGCTGAGCGTCCCAGACGCCTCGGTGCCTCCCACCGGCGTGAAGACCATCCGGATCTGCCTGCCGCGTCCTCCGTACGCAGCAGTCCCCGCGATGGCCCACGGTCCTCCGTCGCCTGGTTGACCCCCTGCCTCCCGGTTGACCCCCAGTCCTCGTAGTCCATCATGAAATAAACTCAAAGTCCACCACAGCCACCAGCCTCCACCTCCACCGTCGAGCCGCGATCGCTGCCGCCCGCGACGCCGCCCGCCGCGTCAGATGCCCGCCACGCCCGCGGCGAGTCGAGTCGGAGAGCCGAGCCGCACCAGCAGCAGCATCTGCACCACCACCAGCAGCAGCAGCAGCACCAGCAGCAGCAGAGCGAGGCGCCAATTTTGAGGTTGCCCGAGACAGCCTGGAGATGGCCCCGCGTTGTAGCCCCGGTGCCGGCGCCTCACATCTCAGCATCCAGGGCCCGGTTCCGCCGCGCAGTCGAGCAGCAGGAGCTCAGTCAGAGCTTTGTCGACAAAGAGCTTGATCAAAATTTCGCCGAAGAAGCGGCACCGGCGGCACGCCGGGATGAATCCGGACTGTTCACATTGTTCGGCACCGCGACGGCGAGCCGCCGCGGGCCCACAGGAGGGCTCGGAGCCGTGGGGCAGTTGCGACGGCGCTTTCACACACACACACACACACACACACACACACTGTTGTGGCAACTCCGTGCACTGACGGTCGGCCGTCAGAAAACACGCCTCCGTGGCTCGGGTTACACCAATCCTCGCTACCCAACGCGGCCAAAGGATATCCACATCGAGAACCTCGAGAACACTGTTGTGCTATGCTGGAAAATTCTTTCGCACAGTCATGGACGTCACCAAGCTGGAGGGCTGCGCTCGCCTTGTGCGCACGGCTGGCCTCGAGCCCAACGTGCTGCAGCGGCGAGCCTGGGCGCTATGCCTCGCTGGAAAAGACGTTCTGATCGTCGCACCCACCGGCAGCGGAAAGACGCTCGCTGCCGTGGCGCCGCTGCCTTCGCTGCTCGCCGGCTCGTCCGCTGCTACGACGCCAGAGACCTCGGACGGGTCGGTGCGGGCGGTCTTTCTGGTGCCGACGCGTGAGCTTGCGGCGCAAGTCGCGAGGGCGTGTGCGCCGCTGGCGACGGAGGGCGTGGCGGTCGCGGCAGTGCACGGCGGAGAGAGCTTCCGCGCTCAGATGGAGGCGGCCAGACGGGCTGCGCTGGTCGTCGCGACGCCCGGACGGCTCCTCGACCTGATGGGTGAGCAGGAGCGGAGGGAGACGGCACGGCCCTCCTCCTCCCCGCTCTCACTCTCGCGAGTCAGCTATGTGGTGGTCGACGAGGCGCAGATCAGCCGAGATTACGCCCGCGATTGGAGCGTGTCGTGGGCGTGTCGTGGGCGTGTCGTGAGCGTGTCGTGGACGTGTCTTG